AAAAAATTACGTTCAACCAACAAACTCTACTGAGTTCGAAGCCTTTTCTAATTACCACTTACTTATAATAGATAAGATAAATGAATGATTTCTCGTATAAATTAAGCTTTTCCACATTATTCAAGTGTCATATTTAATGTTAGTTATAAACACGAGTTTTTAAGTTGAAAATTGTTTAAAAAATTACGTTGCATCAATTCGATTTTTTTTTAAGTTAAAAAAAACAACAGCTTGTTCATGCAGCTTTTAGGAAATTGTTATGCAATAAATACCATATATATATAAAATCGTACTTGAGATCCAGCGCCTTACCGTGACTTTAAACAACTTTAGCAACTAAAAGAAAATCAAACCTTGAGTGTGTTGACAGCTGATTTTGCATTTTGAAAGTTTAAGACGCATTATTCTGAAGACGTAGTCCTGATTATACACACACTGCTTTAAACAGTTCGGGCTTTGTGAGAGCAGCTGGATTACGTATTTTATGTAAAATGAAAAAGTCAGTAAATTAGAATGCAGCCGGTGAAGTTTGAGCAAATGATTGAATCTCTAAAGTTACGGCAATTAAGTGCTTTTAAGTATGAAATTCAGACTGGTGTGGATTAAACTGACCTATGAGACCCTCCAGTGTTATCTAAGGGGTGTCAAGTTGTTGAAATATTAGTGAGATTTAGTCGAATCAACTCGTCTTCTCCTGTTTACTGAACGTAAACATGTGAGTTGTGCTCATTTCTAGTTTCAGAACCTAAAACCAGGAATTCTTAAAAACAACACTTGTTATAATTTGAGGCATTTTGAAGGAACATCTGAGAGTTTAACTGAATGTTCTGATCCTGTTTCACAAATTGATATCAAGAAATTTAAATAAATGAACTTTTCTAATGAATCTTTGGGTCAAATCTGTGGGTTTTGGTTATGTCACGTTAATAGAACTTAAAACTGTGAGTTGACTGAATGAAAAAACTTCATGAAACAAAACTAGCATAAAAGCAGACTTCCTGTTGTTGGAGAGTTAAAACTTCACAGAAACTCTTGTGGTTTTTTGTAGTTTGAGAAAAACAGATGTGGTGGAAACTTCCTGTGTGTCTTTGTTAAATTAAGTTCTGCATATTTCTTTTCACAATAAAACTATTCCATGATCCAGTACACCTGTAGAGTTATAATTTATCTCAGATCGTCTTGACTCGGCTCAATATGAGACTGAAAGAAATTAAATAAAAACACAAACTCTAAACTTAGAAAATGTAAAAACAAAGCCGGTCTGTCTTTAGCTACAGTCCGTGTTGATGCAACTTAATATCTTGAGTTTATTGAACTTGTTTTCTCAAGTTCACTTAAATTAATTCATTTTACATTTTTAAAATACAAAAGACGACACGAAACTGATTAATATTTTGAACTTAACTCACATTTTCAAGGCAGAAGAACTTCTGTTTCTAAGTTAAATTAACTTAAACACACAGCGTGTGAAAACAATATAAAATACAACAAGTCTATCCTGCTGCAAATATTACGGTTGAGACCGCACAGTATATTTAACCCGACAAATAAAAAGTTTTAGTTATGATACTTGAAAAATATACACGAAAACCACACAAATCCACGAATATATACATGTTTTTTTCTTTTTATTTGTATTATTTGTTGTATTTCTAAACTATAACTTCCTCAAAATGAGAATTGCTCTGTTTAAATCATAAAAACGTTGGTGATGTAGAGCGTTTTTCTCATTATTTTATTAAGTAAAGAGCACCTCCTCTTGGATGAATATAAGTCCACCCAACACTTTATGAGAAAAAGAGGAGCAAAAGTCCTTTGTAGCGATATTAAAATAAAGAGACGCAATAAAGAGAGGATTCTATGAACTTTAAGCCGTGAAAACTTTCTTTAAAAATCTCATTTCCACCACCGTGTAGCCTCATAATGGCTCCCGCGGTATGAATTTCCACCTGACGACCTGCGGAGCTGATTTCCATTTGACTCCTTTGGCCCTTTTCCTTTTTATTTTTTAATCTCTTTGTCAAATGATCACTATTGTGCTTCCCACATTGTGTTCGCCCCCGTGGAGTCGACTCACGGCGTACCAGTGTGTTCTACATCCACCCGCTCGAGTTCACCGGGCGGCTGACCCAGAAAAATATTCCCGGCCAACAATACGAAGGTAAATAGGTCAGTCATTCTGCAGGCCAGACGTATCCGGTGTCACGGGGGACGGCGAAGTCTCAGTAATTAGAGATGCCTTAATCTGTCAACACGCCGAATATGTCGAGTCGTGAAGTTCTTGTTGCATCACGAGGGGGTTTCTGCCACAATAACAACACAAACTAGAAAATAAAATTAAAAACTGAGTGTGCCAGTGCAGCTTTTTCCAGTTGATATGTCCTATAATGCTACATCGTTTTATTTTGAAAAGCCAGCATGTTTCACAAACCCTCATCAGTTACTTCTAACATCTCTGAGCTTTTATTTTGAAACTGTAGCACACTTAGCAGAATCCTGGTGTTTTTTTTTTTTATTGAATATGGAATTGAGACCCTTTTAAAATTTAATTTAATTAAAAAAAAAAATCAATGCTACACGAGAGCTGCTCACTGCGCTTTGCTAGTGGGTGTGGACTCTTATTTTGAAAGTGTTATTGATGGTTTCTGCAACAATAAATGTGTGAGAAAGACAGAAAGAAAGAAGCACTGTTTGGTAAGCTCCTTTGAACATCAGGGGGATTTTATTTTGACAGTCTAGCACAGAGGGAAGCAATGAGACGGTATGTTTATTTTGAAAAGCAGGCATATTTTCAGAGTTCCTTGTATTATATTCCTTGTAACATTGCAGAACGTTTATTTTGATAGTGTAGTGTACCTCAGAGGATCCTATTGATTTTTTTGTTTGTTTTAGCTAACTGGGGGGCTTTTACTTTGAAAATTGTTTGAGAAATCCCTAAAACCTCTACTGCGATTCCTTGAAAGCTGTAAAAGATATCAAAACACAGATTTAACTGAATAATATTCAATGTCCTGTGAGCCGTTTAAACGTTGAATGAAGGTTCTACTGTGAACTATTTCAGAGCTACGACTGGTTTTGGTTGCCTTTGGTTGACTTCCTGTTCATTTCAATGGGGATTTTTAAGGCAGTTTTTTACAAATTCCATAAAGACCGAATGATGAATTTCTATCAGATGTCAGAGCACAACACTCCCGATCGAGCTGCACATTCTGATATATCATTTGTTTTGGTTTTCTTAAAGCTGCAGGACGAGTTAATCGTGAAGAATCTACATTAAGAATAACAATAAATGAGCTTCAATGCTTACACACCGACACTGAAATATATCGAAAACTTCTGACATCTGTGAAGAAGAAGCAGCTTTTCTTCTCTGTTCGTGCTCAGAACGCCGTCACCACCTCCCACTCTTCAAAGTCACTTTACATTAAGTGATAATTTGATCCAGTGATGAGATGGACGGACTGAAATGAGATTCTCCGTCCAGACTTTAATGAGTTTTTTTGGTTTTCTGCCTCTTTTGCAATAGATTTTGACACTTTGGGTGATGGAGCCTTTCAAAGAAATCCCACATCATACTCAGTGGATCCATACGGCCAGAAAAACAAATCGGCTGCATTGATTTCAATAAAGCTGTTTTGTTTTTCTTGTTG